CAAGAAAAGGGGCAAACTAGATATGAAAGCCAAGAAATTTATAATGAAACGAGAGAAAAATGCAAAGCAAAACATAAAGGAGAAATCAGACAAAAGGGTCAAATCAGACAAAAAAATCTGTAAAAGTGCAAAAGAATCACCTGTTACATCTAAACATTCACTCAAATCTATGAGTACTATTCAAGAATGTAAAGGCAGTGGTAAATCTCCATCACAAACACAATCTGCTGGTATAAAAAGTTCACAAACTACCAATATAACACCTGACATAGGAACATCTGATTCACAGACCAAATCATTTAGTAAAATAGAATCACCTGCTAAATCTAAAAAATCACCCAAATCTATGAGTGCTATTCAGGAAAGGAGTTTAAAAGCAAGTAGGGGCAGCGGTAAATCTCCACCACAAACTCAATCTGCTGGTATAAAAAGTTCACACTCTACCAATATAACACCTGAAATTGGAAAATCTGATTCACAGGCCAAATCATTTAATAAAATAGAATCACCTGCTAAATCTAAAAAATCACCCAAATCTATGAGTGCTATTCAGGAAAGGAGTTTAAAAGCAAGTAGGGGCAGCGGCAAATCTCCACCACAAACACAATCTGCTGGTATAAAAAGTTCACAAACTACCAATATAACACCTGAAATAGGAAAATCTGATTCACAGACCAAATCATTTAGTAAAATAGAATCACCTACTATATCTGGAAAATCTCCCAAATCTATCAGTGCTATTCGAGAAAGAAGCTTGAAAGCAAGTAAAGATAGCGCAAAAGCTACATCACGTGGTGCTGAATATTCAAGCGGATATAAAGAGAGAAATGATTATGGAAAAGCGAAACAGTCGATAAATTCAAATATCGACAAAGCATCCAAAAAAGACAAAAAAGTCAAACAGCCTAAAAAGATAAAACAAGATAAAAAGTTCCATTCAGACAAAAAAGGCAAAATGTCTAAAAAGGTAAAATCAAACAAAGAACTTAAATCAGACAGAATAGCAACACAGTCTAAAAAGTCTAAAACGGTCAAAAAGGCAAAACCAGACAGTAATGAAAAAGAATCAAAAAAGGCTAAACAAGAAAACAAGGTCAAACCAACGAAGAAAGAACAACAACTTAAAAAAGAAAAACCAGACATGAAAGTCAAACTGCCGAAAAAGGAAAAAGTAGATGAAAAGGAAAAAACACACAAAGCTGTCAAAGCTCCGAAGGAAAAACTTGTTACAGAAAAGATACAAGGAACAGAAAAGATAAAAGAACCAGAAAAGAAAAAACTAGACAAAGATACAAAGCCAGATAAAAAAGAAAAAAAAGACAAGAAAGTCAAACTGTCTAAAAAGGAAAAACAAGACAAGAAAGTCAAACTGCCTAAAAAGGAAAAAAAAGAAAAGAAAGTCGAACTGTCTAAAAAGGAAAAGCAAGACAAGACAGTCAAACTGTCTAAAAAGGAAAAGCAAGACAAGAAAGTCGAACTGTCTCAAAAGGAAAAACAAGACAAGAAAGTTAAACTGCATAAAAAGGAAAAACTAAACAAAAAGACAAAGCCGGATAAAAAGGCAAAACCAATCAAAGAGGAAAAAACACACAAAACGGCCAAAGCTAGAAAGGAGAAACAAGTTACACAAATTATACCAGGTCCAGAAAAGATAAAAGAACCACAAAAGAAAAAGCTTTATAAAAGAGCAAAATTAGAAAAAAACATAACAGGGCCTAAAAAGAAAAAAGCGCAAGAAATGGCCAAAACAAAAGGAAAATCTAAAAAATCGCCCAAATCTATGAGTGCTATTCAGGAAAGGAGTTTAAAAGCAAGTAGGGGCAGCGGCAAATCTCCACCACAAACACAATCTTCTGGTATAAAAAGTTCACAAACTACAATTAAAACACCTGGAATAGGAACATCTGATTCACAGACCAAATCATTTAATAAAATAGAATCATCTGCTAAATCTGGAAAATATCCCAAATCTATGAGTGCTATTCAGGAAAGGAGTTTAAAAGCAAGTAGGGGCAGCGGCAAATCTCCACCACAAACTCAATCTGCTGGTATAAAAAGTTCAAAAACTACCAATATAACACCTGGGATAGGAAAATTTGATTCACAGACCAAATCATTTAGTAAATGAA